GTAGCCCGGAGGCGACCCTCGACACAGGGGACACAGGAAGGTCCTGGCCCGGAGGGGAGAGGAGGGAGAGACTGGGGAAGACCAGAGACAAGGACACGGGAAGCCATGCTCCGAAGACGGGGCAAGGAGGGGTGGCCAAGACGGTGGTGCCACAGGAGAGTCTCGTGAGACAGGAGGCGACAAGAACAGGGGGCAGACTCAGGACCTGACCGGGACGCAGCAGCAAGCACCTGACCCGACGCAGCCACCTGACCAGACGCAGGGACAGGAGGAGACTCAACGGTCAGGGTGTAGAGACTCGACCCTGGCCGACGCGAGAACGTGGCCAGGTGTCGGCCTGTGCGTGCGTCCGTGCAGTGGGTCACCCGCTGACTCGCAGGAGTGAACTGGTGAACCCCCGCATCCTGTAGGTCTGCACCACTCACCAAGTTCGTCAAGAACGAGGGGAGGTACAGGCCAGACAGGGTGCCCGAGGGGGCAGCCGGACACGGGAGGACAGTGGAGAAGTGAGCGAGGACAGGACCCCCAGAGGGGTCAGCCAGGGAGACAGCAACCGGCCGGCCAAGCGGCGTGAGTGTGGTGCGGTCCCGAAAGAAGGAGCGAGAAGCCCCAGAGTCAAGTGTAAAGGTGAGGGAGGCCGAAGCCAACGCGGTACCTGAGAGCGCAGCCTCACCCGCACCTGAGGAAGCAGACTCACGAGCACCTAGAGCAGCAGCCGCACCTGTACCTGGAGCAGGAGACTCACTAGCACCCAGAGCAGCAGCCTCACCAGTAGCTAGAGCAGCAGGTCCTATACCTGGGTCAGGCGGGACGCACAGGTGACCGGCACGGTCAGCACTAGTAGGCAATGCATACATGGCAGTGAGAATAGCATCATAGTCAAGAGCATATATATCTACCCTCTGCCTAAGCAACTCCACCCAGTCGGGAAGCTCAGCCTCGTCGCCAAACACGGCACGCCAGGCGTCGCTCAGACGGGCGAAGCAGCGGGACGGTGTATGACTACGTGTCCCACAAGGCTGACCAGTCCGAGTACCAGTGCGAATCACGTAAGAGCAGCGAACAGCACTGAGAGACCCTCCACTCTGAGCGTACCACTCACAAAGCTGGCGAGGCGTGAGAGACACGCGAGAGGGTCGCGGGAGCTGCATCCGGCCGCCACCACGAGTAGAAGCAGCAGGAGTGGAAGTAGGAGTAGCGTCGCCACCCCTATAGCCCCAACCAGCGTACCACTCACGCAGCTGCTGGGGCGTGAGGGACGCACGCAGGCGTCGCTGGGGCTGCATCTGGCTCCGCAAGGAGAAGCAGGAGCAGGACTAGCAGCAGGAAGGCAGGCAGCCAGGCAAGCCAAAAGGCAGGCAGGCAGACGCGCAGCGTGCTAGCAGGGCAAGAGCTCACCAGTGGTGGGAAGAGTAGGCTCCGCGACTCAGTGGCTCGGCAGCTCGGCGGCTCGGCGGCTCGGGCGACTCGGGCGGCTCGGCGGCAAGGCGGCTCGGCAGCAACTGCAGCTCAGCAGCTCGGTGACTCGGCGGCTCGGCGGCAGGGCGGCTCGGCAGCAACTGCAGCTCAGCAGCTCAGCGACCCAGCGGCTCGGCGGCAGGGCGGCTCGGCTGCTGGGCGGCTCGGGTGAAGGGCGGCTCGGCGGCTGCAGGTGAGCGATGAAGGAGGAGGAGAAGCAGGGGAGGCCACGCACCTGCCACCCCAAGCGGCCCCCTCAGGTCGCCTCGACAGGCGACGGGAAAAGGGGGGGGTGGGTGGCGGGGGCCGGTAGGTGCAGCGGCGGGACCAGCAGGTGCAGTTGCGGGGCCGGTAGAAGGTGACGGCAGGAGCCGTCAGGAGGGGACGGCGGGGCCGTCAGGAAGGGACGGCGGGGCCGTCACGAAGGGACGGCGGGGCCGTCAGGAGGCGACCGGGCCGCGACGAGGGCAGGCGGCGAGGCCGCGTAAGGGCCTGGGCGGGGCCGCGACAGAGCCGTCGACGGGGCCGCGTGAAAGCCGGGGCGGGGCCTCGTAGAAGCCGGGGCGGGGCCGCGCGAGAGCAGGCGGCGGGGCCGCGAAGGAGCCGGGGCGGGGCCGCGTGAGAGCAGGTGGCGGGGCCGCGTAAGGGCCTGGGCGGGGCCGCGACAAAGCCGTCGGCGGGGCCGCGTGAAAGCCGGGGCGGGGCCGCGTAGAAGCCGGGGCGGGGCCGCGCGAGAGCAGGCGGCGGGGCCGCGAAGGAGCCGGGGCGGGGCCGCGTGAGAGCAGGCGGCGGGGCCGCGTAAAGGCCGGGGCGGGGCCGCGACAGAGCCTGTTGCGGGGCCGCGTGAGAGCCGGCGACGGGGCCGCGTAAGGGCCGGCGGCGGGGCCCCGTCAGAGAGGGCGGCGGGGCCGCGTCAGTGAAAGCGGCGGGGCCGCAGGGAAAATGACGACCCAAGGGGTCGCTAAAAAAAATCGCGCCTCGGGGGGCGCTTCAGTGGGCCCAAAAAAAAACGGTCCGTAGAAGGACCCGCTCTATACCATGTGAGAATAAGCGAACAGGAATGAATGACTAAGGAAAGATTGGGTACAAATACAACCCTAGAAACTCTGTAACCCATATGTGCTACCCCACTATAGCCTACAAACATGCATCAGCTATAATACTCTGACAAACCGCCTACTGACAAAAGCCTATATGTGAGAGTTTCTACAGGACAGACTGGAGTTTTTGGGACACATTATTTCAGCGAAAGGAGTGGAAATAGACTCGAAAAAGATTGCTAAGATTCAAGCGTGGCATGTGCCGACAAATTTGACTGAGCTGCAGAGCTTTTTGGGGTTCGTCAACTACGTGCGACAGTTCGTCCCCGACATGGCGAAGTTGACTGCTCCATTGACCGACCTACTGAGGAAGGGGGTTGAGTACACGTGGGGGGAGAAAGAGCAAGCTGCCTTCTTGGTCCTCGAACAAATTTTGTGCTCGCCGACCGTGCTTCACATCGCGGATTCGCACCGTCCGTTCGAGCTCGTCACCGACGCTACCGACATCGCTGTGGGAGCATTACTGTTGCAGGATTTCGGGAACGGCCTCCAACCAATCGCGTACGAGTCCCGCAAGCTTCACCCGCCCGAGCGCAACTACCCGATACACGACCGCGAGATGCTGGCGATCGTGCACACATTCAAGGTGTGGCAATGTTACCTCACGGGAGCAGACGTGACAGTACGGACAGACCACCGATCACTAAAGTACATTCGCGCCCAACTGAATCTCAACCCACGACAGACCGCTGGTTGGATTATCTGGAGTCCAACTTCCACTACACAGTCACGTACAAAAAGGCGCATCGAATATCGCCGACGCACTCACACACCCCACCGCCCAACTCCACGCCATCCTACTCGCCCAAACCAACCCGCCGTTAACAGGCCTATTCACTCACAGATACAGTACCGACCCATTTTTCACGACCGGAAATTCACAGCAACTGGCAGAAGCTAAAGGGGTTTATTACGTAAAGACAGGCACCAACCGCATCTGGGTACCCATGTACTCACAATTGAGGGAGCTGCTGAGAAAATGAGAATGAGAATGAATGAACTATGAGTGAAGTGGGTACAAGTACCAACCCTAATTGGGTTGTACCCCCTATGGGATACCCCACTACAGCCTACACAAAAGCATAAGCTATAATGTTCTGACACACCCCCATAGGCAAAGTGGGGGAGAACAGGGGGTCACAAGACCAGTCAAGCAAAGCTCAGGGTGGATCACAAAGTCACCACACATTCCGAGCAAAAGTACAAGGCCACAAGGCCAGTTCACAGCCAGGAGTACATATATATATAAGGGTAGACAAGCAAGAGCAGGTACATATACATGTAACAGTACAAGCAAGGCCAAGAGGTGAGCAAGTGAGGCAAGACAGGTACAAGACCTAGCTGGGTGCAGAAGCGCTGATGATCACAAGGCGCAAGTGCCTTGGTGAAGATATCAGCAGTGTTGGCATCAGAGGCCACGTACACAAGCCGCAACTGACCACAATGGTGTAGCTCACGAGCAAGGAAGTAGCGAAGAGCAATGTGCTTTGTTCCGTGCTCCAGTCTCTGCTCTCGACACAAGGCCAACATGACCTTGTTGTCTACGTACAGCACCGGAGGAGAACGAGGCGGCTCTTCGAGGTCAGTCAGCGTAGGTGAGCCAGCGAACCTCCTATGCAGTCATGGCCCCAGCGTAGATCTCAGCCTCAAAACTGGAGCCGAGAACAGAAGACGAGCGAGTAGCCCGCCACGAGACAGAGCCGGAACCAAGGCTGAAGGTGTAACCTTGTGACACCGCTGCGTAGCCTGGTCGTCAGCCCAAGAAGCGTATGCATGCCCAGTGAGGACCACTGGACTGCGCCCTCCAAGCACAAGCCCCATGCCCGACGTACTGCACAAGTAGCGCAACACCCTCTTCGCTGCAGCCATGTGCTCTGGGCGGTGTCTCCGAGGAGCAAAATAGCGTGCGAGAATGCTAAGAGGGTATGCAAGGTCAGGTCGTGTGTAGGTCATCAGGTACATGAGGCAGCCAACAAGCTCTGGATACGGGCCACTCGACCCTACAGACTCATCCGAAGGCAGAGCTGAGAGCGAGTGGCGAGTAGGCAGAGGAGTGGCCTGAGGCGAGGAGTACGTGAAGCCGAAGCGCTGAAGGACCTGCTGCACCATGTGTGACTGAGTCAGGGTAATGGTGCGGCGTGCTCTGTCCCGGGTGATCTGCAAGCCAAGGTAGCTGCGCAGTTCACCCAGGTCTGTGCACGTGTGTCTCTTCTGCAGCTCGGACTTCACGTAGGCGAGTCCAGCAGTGTCAGCTGTGGCAAAGACCAAGACGTCGACGTACACGAGGATGTAGAACGGCGGCAGAGAGGTGTCGGTGCGTAGAAAAAACGACGGGTTGGCAGTAGAAGGAGCAAACCCAAGAGCCGCAAGCGTAGTCCTCGGTGTGTCGTGCCCCTCACGTGGCGCCTGGCGGAGACCGTAAACTGGACGCCGGAGGCTCCACTAGGTACCAGGAGGGAACGACCCAGTGAAGCCAGGTGGGCGGCGCAGCCAGATCTCCTCGTGCAGGCTGCCCTGCAAGAAAGCTGTGCTAAAGTCGAGAGAGTGCGGCTCGTAGTCACGGTGAGCAGCAACGTGCAGCAGTACCCGAAGAGTGGTCATCTTCGGGGTGGGAGAGAAGGTCTGAAAGTAGTCAACTTCCTGCCGCTGTCTGAAGCCACGAGCCACGTAACGTGCCTTGAAGATAGGCGGAGAACCCGGCGGCCGCTTCACTCTGAAGATCCACATGCCACTGACGATGTTCGCCCCAGACAAGGGAACCTCGTCAACGTAGGTACCTGTGGACTTCCAGGAAGCCATCTCTGCATCCATAGCTGCCTGCCACTCAGAGGAGTAGGGACCCTCTATCGCCTCCGCGTAGGAGCGCGGAGTCGGGATGTCAAGTGCATCCGGGTCTCCCTCAGGGGTAAGTAGTACGGACACGAGATGAGGTGAAGCAGCTGCCAGACACTGGAACTCCTCCTGCCTGTCCTCAAGGACGTCCGTGCCAAGGGCACACTCACCCCCGACGGACGGAGGACAGACAGACTCAGACTCAGCTACAAGACTAGCAGCGTAGTCTAGGCGACAGCGAGCAGCAAAGTCGTCAAGCTCAGCACCTAGGGCAGACGCAGCAGTGGACTCGAAAGAAGGGTCAGTGACGTCAGTAGCTAGGAGACGCGTGACAGTAGGACTGGCAGCACGAAGAGAGTCCGACTCCGGGTCGGCAAGAGCAGGAAGAGAGGACTCAGGAGGAGAAGGCAAAGGGGCACGCTGAGGAGCTGTGGACGGACGCAGAGACATCCGGTGCGTGCCAGGGACAGGAGGAGGACGCTCACGCGAACCACAACTACTAGCGCGAGCAGCACGGACAGGCGACATAGGGCGAGACGCAGGCTCACGACGCTTAGCAAGACCTCCAGTAGGACCAGTGTAGGGAGAAGGAGCAGGCAAAGGGGAGGTAGGCTGCAACTGTAACTGTGACGGGAAAGGCTGTGGATACTCTAAGGGAGGAGGAGGACCAGTAGAAGGTGGAAGACCAAGAACCTGCTGCAGGAGTGGAAGGAAGTACGGTCGAGGCCGCGTGGCGACGCCAGACACAGCAGGGACAGCACCAGTACCCCCAGCAGGAGCACCTGCTCCAGCAGCACCTCTAGTAGCTCCAGAACATCCAGTAGCACCAGAAGTACCCCCAGTAGGACCGCCAGCGGTAGTCTCAGCACCAACACCCTCAGCAGCACCAGCTCCAGTCGAACCCTCAGGCCCAGCAGCTCCAGTACTCCCAGTACGAGCACCTCCGAGACCAGCGACAGTAGCACCCTCAGTAGCCGAAGAACCTCCAGCACTAGCAGCACGGCTCGTGCGCCGGGCAAACCACTCGCGCAGCTCCTGTAGAGAGAGTGGCTCCCGCAGAGGCGAAGCAACCGGAGAACCTCCAGGCGTAGCACCTCCAAGCTCAGCACCCCCAGGCTCAGCACCCCCAACTAGATCACTCCCAGGCACAGCACCCCCAGGCGTCGCACCCCCAGGCACAGCACCCCCAGGCTTAGCACCCCCAGGCTCAGCACCCCCAGGCTCAGCACCCCCAGTCGCAGTACCCCCAGGCCCAGCACCCCCAGTCTCAGCACCCCCAGGCGTAGCAACCCCAGTCTTAGCACCCCTAGGCTCAGCACCCCTAGCAGCACCAGAGTCACCAGTAACCTCGACAGGCTCGACTGCGTCTACCTGGGACACACCTGAAGGGGCAGGACCCTGAGGGGGGAGGGGGTCTACCGGGGGGGGACCTGGTAAAAGGAAGAGCGGGGGGGGGGGAGGGACAGAGTGCGGTAGGGGAAGAGGCGGTAGTAGGGGACCGACTCGTCAAACGTGACGTCCTGGGAGGACATAACACGGCGAGAGGTGGGGTGGTCAAACTGCCACCCAGGCGCGTCAGGGGGGAACCCCACGAAGACGCAAGGAGGAGCACGAGGGGATATCTTGTCCGCAGACAAGTCGCGGACAAACGCCCGAGATCCCCAGACTCGGAACGCCGACGCATCGCCAACCTTCCCCGTCCACAGCAAGGCTGGGGAGGTCTCCGGCTTGGAGACCCTGGGGTGTAGGTTGATCTGATGCGCCGCGTACCTCACCGCAAACGGCCACAGAAAATGGGGAGCAGCCGCATGCATCATAGACGTACGAGCGACGTCCATGACCATGCCAATGCGGCGCTCAGCAATCCCATTTTGCTGCGGGGAGTCCGGAAGCGTGAAGGTCTGACGGATGCCTCGTGCGTGACAATAGGCTCGCAGAAGGCCAGAGGAAAACTCTCCGCCTCTGTCCGAGTGTAGACGCAGAACAGGAAAGTCCGAGCCAAAGCTCTGCCTGAGCTGGAGACGAGCTGCGCGGATCCAGTCGATCAGCACCTTAGTGACATCACCCTTGCTGCGCAAGGGGAAGACTGTGGTGTAACGCGAGTAGTCGTCAACCACCAACAGGAAGTAGCGCTCGTGACCGAGTCCACGGACGCGGGCAGGGCCCCACACGTCCATGTGAAGCGTCTGCAACGGAGCCTCTGTCGGAGGAAACTGGGAGGAGTGAGGGGCAGCCCGAAGGCGCCCCTCGACACAGGGGACACAGGTAGGGCCAGGGCCCTGAGGAAGGGGAGGAAGGGACCGGGGGAGACCAGAAACAAGAAGACAGGAGGCCATGCCTCTGAGCTGAAGCAGAGAGGGGTGACCAAGACGGTGGTGCCAGTGGAGAGTCTCGTGAGACAGGAGACGACACGAACAGGGGGCAGACTCAGGACCAGACTTGGACGCTGCAGCAATCACCTGACCGAACGCAGCTACCCTACCAGACGCAGCTACTGGAGGAGACGCAGTGGTCAGAGTGTACAGGCTCGACCCTGGCTGACGGGTAAACGTAGCCAGGTGTCGGCTTGTGCTAGCCTCTGTGCAGTGCGTCACCCGCTGACGCGCAAGAGTGAACTGGTGTACTCCCCCATCCTGTAGGTCAGCACCACTCACCAGGTTCGTAGAGAACGAGGGGAGGTAGAGACCAGACAGGGTGCCAGAGGGAGCCGCCGGACACGGAAGGAATGTGGAGAAGTGAGACAGGAATGGACCCCCAGAGGGGTCAGCCAGAGACACCGCAACCGGCCGACGAAGCGGCGTGAGTGTGGTGCGGTCCCGAAAGAAGGAGCGAGAAGCTCCAAAGTCAAGGGTGAAGGTGAGGGAGGCCGAAGCCGACGCAGTACCTGAGAGCGCAGACTCACCAGTACTTGAGGACTCAGACGCACTAGCACCTAGAGCAGCAACGTCACAGGCACCTAGGGCAGCAGCCTCATTAGTACCTAGAGCAGCAGTCCCAATGCCCGGATCGGGCGGGAAACACCGGTAACAGTCACCCTCATCACTAATAGACACAGCATATTTGGCAGAAAGAATAGCATCAAAATCAAGATCATAGATAGCAATTCCCGCCCTAGACAGCTCGCCCCAGCGAGGGATCTCTGTGGCCTCCGGGAACTGACGACGCCACGCGTCCGTCAGGCGGCCAAAGCAGCGCTGGGTGGGGTGCGCACCCCCACACTGCTCACCCGCACGGTCGCCGGTGCGCAGGACGTAGGTGCACGGACCAAAACCCCCACCCCGCTGGCGTGCAGTATACCACTCACGGAGCTGCTGAGGGGACAGGGTCTCACGACCGCGCTGCTGCTGCTGGCGCTGGCCACCACCGGAACCACTCCTTTGCGTAGACCCGCGACCAGCTCCACCGCCACCCCCGCCACCTACGCCGCCTCCGCCGCCTCCGCTACCACTGCCGCCTCCGCCGCCGCCTCCACCGCCACCACCTCTGCCACCTCCGCTCCCACCACCACTGCCGCTGCCGCCTCCGCCTCCACTGCCGCCACCGACACCTCCTCCCCCACCTCCACTCCCACCGCCACCCCCACTCCCCCCGCCGCCTCCACCTCCACCGCTCCCGCTCGCTCCTTCAACGCCCTTGCCCCCTTTGCCCTTGCCAGAGCGGCGTCTCCCACTAGGGGCGGACGCCGCATCGACCGACTCAAGACCAAGGAGGTCGGCCGTAGCAGCAGAGGCAACAGAGGGAAGAAGGGGGGAGGGGGAGCACCCCTCAAAGATGGGGGTGCGCGGGTCACCACGAGAGGCCCCTACAGCGACTATGCTCTTCTCGGCCGCTAGAAGGGACTTCTCGAGGAGGTCAACAGTGAGAGTGGTGGGACAGACTCAAAGGAAGTGGTCCCTTACTACACGAAGGGAGTTAGGAAGGCGAGTGACTATGTAGTAGAGAGTGATGTACATGGGGGGGGGGGTTCTTGGCGCAGAAGTCAGCAGGAAGCGCAGCACGATAGCGAGTGTCACTAGTGCGGAGGTGCGTAATGAGGTCAGCGACAGTAGGAAAGGCAGCAAGGTCAGGGAAGAGGTACGGTAGCATGAGACGGCACAGTGCAGCAGTGGCATGGGAGGAGTAGCGCGCAACTACAGCGTCGTACAAGGTCTGAGCACTCTTGTACTGACTAAAGTGCGCCCGCTCAGAGGTAGGGAGGTGGCGACGCACAGCAAGACGTGCAGCAGCGTCGCGCGTGGCCCACTGGGAGCGAACAGTGGCGTCAGCATCAGCAGCAGGGGAAGGAGAGGCGCCAGAGGTGAGGTCAAAGAGAGAGAGACCGTCTGCCCTATCGCACTGTAAGAACAGCTGCAGGTCATCTACCGAGACGTCAAAGTCAATGGCTCGACCCTCAGCGTCAAAAGCGAGGACACTAGGGGTAGCCATGACCACAGTAGACTAGCAGTGCAACAGTAGGGTGAGGGCAGTGTAGCAAAAAGGAGGCACTGTGCTCACCGGACAGGGCAGCTCGGGCGGCTAGGCAGTAGGGCGGCTCGGCAGATCGGCGGCTCGGCTACTGGGCGGCTGGGCGGCTTGGCTGCAGTGCGGCTCGGCGGCTGGGCGGCTCAGCTGCAGGGCGGCTCGGCTGCTGGGCGGCTCGGCTGCAGGGCGGCTCGGCGGACGGCTGTCCGGCTACTCGGTTGCCCGGGCGGCTCGACGGTGCTGCTGCAGGGCGGCGCGGCGGTCGGCTGCTCGGCTGGGTGGGACGGGTCGGGAAGCTCGGGCGGCGGGCGGCGTTGCAGCAGGTGACGGGGCTGCAGGTGAGGGCGGCGGGGCCGCCAACGAGAGGGGCGGGGCCGTAGGTGAAAGCGGCGGGGCTGCAGGTGAGGGCGGCGGGGCCGCAGCAGAGGGCCGCGGGGCCGCAGAGAAGGGCGGCGGGGCCGCAGTTGAGGGCGGCGGGGCCGCAGCAGTTGAGGGCGGCGGGGCCGCAGGAGTTGAGGGCGGCGGGGACGCAGTTGAGGGCGGCGGGGCCGCAGGTGAGGGCGGCGGGGCCGCAGCAGTTGAGGGCGGCGGGGCCGCAGTTGAGGGCGGCGGGGCCGCAGCAGTTGAGGGCGGCGGGGCCGCAGTAGTTGAGGGCGGGGGGGCCGCAGGTGAAAGCGGTAGGGCCGCAGGTGAGAGCGGCGGGGCCGCAGCAGAGGGCGGCGGGGCCGCAGAGAAGGGCGGTGGGGCCAAAGTTGAGGGCGGCGAGGCCGCAGCAGTTGAGGGCGGCGGGGCCGCAGCAGTTGAGGGCGGCGGCGTCATAGATGAGGGCGGCGGGGCCGCAGTTGAGGGCGGCGGGCCGCAGGAGAAGGGCGGCGACGGGCCACTTGTGAAAGGGCGGCGCAACGCGGCCGTTAGGGCTGCGCGACGCGGCCGTAAGGGCGGCGCGACGGGTCGCTAAGGGCGACGCGACGGGCCGCTAAGGGCGACGCGACGGGCCGCTAAGAAGGGCGCGACCCTAGGCGCGCTTCGGGCAGGGGCAGGACGCGCCCCGGGCAGGAAAAGAAAAGGGAGGATCGGTGGGCCCTAGGAACAGTTCCCGCGAGGGAACCTGCTCGATACCATGAGAAAATGAGAACGAGAATGAATGAACTATGAGTGAAGTGGGTACAAGTACCAACCCTAATTTGGTTGTACCCCCTATGGGATACCCCACTACAGCCTACACAAAAGCATAAGCTATAATGTTCTGACAGCTGCTACTGCATGAGGCACATGACGGAATTACCTCGGGACATTTCGGGGTAGAAAAAACGCGACAGCAACTGCAGCGCTATTACTACTGGCCGGAGCTGTTGACCGACGTACAGCACCACGTGGGCTCTTATCCTACGTGTTAGGTGATGAAGAGCTCGCGAAAAAGAAAGGCGGGTCAATTGCAGCCGATTCCACCGCCCGAGCGCGCCTGGCAGCAAGTTACCATGGATTTCGTCACGGAGTTACCTTCGAACCCAGGGGGTAACGACGCGGTTATGGTCGTGGTTGACGGTTTGACGAAGATGGCACACTTCGCTGCGTGCAAGAAATCGATCTCAGCCGAAGAGACCGCTCGCCTGTTCATCGCAGCCGTCGTTTGACTACACGGGATACCAGCCGCGATAATCAGCGACCGAGACACGAAGTTCACCAACAATTTCTGGAAGAACCTTTGGGAGCAATTCGGGACCAGGCTACAGTCTAGCTCATCGTACCACTCCGAGACCGATAGGCAAACGGAGCGGACCAACCAGACGATGGAGCAGTTGATTCGGGCCACGTGCGACGACCCGACAACTTGGGAGTAGCAGCTTCCGCTGATTGAGTTCGCGTACAACAATGCCACGTTAGTGACAACGAAGCAGTCCCCGTTTTACCTGAACTACGGGCAAAACCCAACAGTGTCCATGATGTCGTGTGCGGACAACCCCACGCCACGTGCACAGCAATTCGCCGAGATTCTGCAGGCTGCCCGAACCAGAGCCGCAGAAGCAATTAAAAAAACCGATGCCATCGTTAAACGCAACGCTGACCGCCTGCACCGCCCAATCACGTACCAGTCATGAGATTGCATACTACTTGACACACTGAACTTAAGACTGCCCGTCGTACCAAAATTACGACCGTGGTACTATGGACCATTCCAAATCAGCCACATGATCACCCTACTGACCGCCCACTTACTGTTGCCAACAGACTGGTACATCAGCCCATCATTCCACGTCAGTCTGCTTCGCCCCTACATCCCAACCACAAGCCAACTGGCTCGTCACCGCCCGCCATCAATGACTCGCCCTACATCGGAGCCTATCATCGAGCCCAAAAAGATCCTGAGCCATCGGATTCGAGTTCCTCGTTCGCTGGAAGGACCGCACGCCAACTGAGAATAGCTGGGTAACCCTGGCCAATATGGAGAACCACCCTAGCCTTGCAAGTGTATCTGAGGAGCCGGGGTTTTCGTGATATTAACGCACTCGCATAGCGGAGGGGGCTTCTTGAGGGGGGGGGGGGAGGGGGGGGGGGGGGGGTAGTGTGAGGAATTTTCTCGACATTCCTTAGCGTATCCTGCAACATCGCGTACAGCAGCAGCCGCTGTTCGCCCGTTATTACTAACGGGGCTTCGTCGACTTCGCGCACACTGTTTCACCAGACCATGCACCGCTGGCCTGTCCCTGTCGACCTACGCTTTGGGACTAGCCCGAACCTTGATTCTGTTGGGCTGAGATAGCCCCTTAGGATCTTTGCAAGGGATAACTCTAGGTGAAGTAGTTGTAATAGCGGAAGCGTTTAGTGAAGAATTTGAACCGACCTTGCACTGGTGTGTGAGAGCAAAGTTGATTGAATTAAACAAGCAAATACAAGGATTTATAAAAGAGTACAGGGAATACGAATAGATAGGTAGATAACTGTATTGCTGTTGCGGTTCGATACAGTGCGACTCGGGCAACTGCTCTGTAACGAGTCAGTTGTGTGTCCTTAACTGTCGCGCTGTAATTGTCGAGTCAAAGGTCAGCGACCTTTGACTTTCTCGTAACCTCCAGGCGGTTACCCTAACCTCCGAGGTTGACTCGATGCTTCGATTGGGACTGCTTCGCTTGGTGCCTTGGGTTTTGATACGACAGAAGCGCACTTAGGACTTATTGTTTCCAACACTCCCCTTCGCTTCTGGAGTGTCGCTGCTGGTGACGTGGCCTTGTCCAGTCAGCATCATGCAGTATTCGAACTTCTGCTTTCCGAGTTTCTTGGTCAAGTAATCGGCTGCCATCTCGGATGTTGGGCAGTATGACAGATCGAGTTTCCCTTTTTCTATCTCGTCCTTCACGAAGAAATAGCGCAGGGCGATGTGTTTCGTCCTGTTTGCGAAGCCGTTTTTGTTGGCGATGCGAATTGCTGACTGGTTGTCGCAGAACACGGTGAAGCTGGGTAACTCGGCTAGCTTCGCTTCTTCCAGTAGTTCGCGAAGGTAAAGTCCCTCCTTAGTGGCTGAGCAGAGTGCAATATATTCTGCTTCTGCTGAAGATAGTGCGATTAACTCCTGCTTGCTCGACTGCCAGGAGATAGGACCGATAGGCTCAAGGCGGTAGACATAGCCGGTGCGTGAGCGCCTGTTGTCGGTGTCGCCGGCGTGATCGGCGTCGACGTAGCCGATTAGCTTAGTCGGTGTAGCTGCGCTCTTGTGGTAGGTTAGCCCGATCGTCGCGGTGCTGACGAAGTAGTGGAGAGCGCGATCAAGTTCCGCCAGGTGTTCAGCTTCAGGCTTCTTGAGATAGGTGGCGAGCTGACTTGCGGAGTAGGATAAGTCAGGACGGCAGGTGACGGCGGCGAATAGCAGGCATCCGAGCTTCTTCTGATAGTCGCGTATGCCGGCGGGCTTGAGTAGAGTAGTTTGTTCCTTCTCGGTTCCTGATGTGTAGCGGTAAGGCGTGGAGATGGCGCTTGGTGTGAGGCTGAAGCGTTTCGCGATGGTGTCGGCGTATTTCTCGGCGCTTAGATAGATGGCGTTTTCTTCTTCGCGGATGTTGAGCCCGAGGTACTGTGTAACGGTGGAGGAGACCGTGAGCGTGAGGTCTTTCTGGAGCTCTCCTTCGAACCACGTGGCGATGCCGTCGGTTGACCCAATGTAGAGGAGATCGTCCACGTAGACGATCAGGAGAACGTAGTCGCTTCCCTTAGTGAGGCGGTACATGCCTTGGTCGTGAGGTAGTTGACTAAAGCCGATGCGGATGAGACGGGCGTGCAGGTACTGCTGCCACAGTCGCGGTGCCTGCTTGATCCCGTAGAGCGACTTAAGTAGTTGACAGATTCGGTTGGGTTCGCCGTGGGAACCGTGCGGGAGCTCGACGTAGATTTCTGCATCCACAGGTGCGTAGAGGAAGGCATTCGCGACGTCGATCTGCCGTAACTTCTTCTTCTTCATGGCGGCAATGGCGAGGAGAATTCGGAGTGACGTGTGGCGGCTGACTGGAGCAAAGGTCTCGGTGAAGTCTCGTCCTTGCTCTTGGTCGAATCCACGTACGACCCAGCGTGCTTTGAATTTTTCGATCGTGCCGTCTGCTTTCGTCTTGATGCGGAAGACCCATTTCCCGGTAAGGATGGTTTTGTTCCGTGCCACGCTTACGGGAACAACCTTCCAAGTGTTGCGTTCCTCTAATGCCTTCAGTTCTCTATCCATGGCTTCACGCCATTTCTCCCTGTGTTCCCCCCCCAGAGCCTGCTGAACCGTTGCAGGCTCCTTAGGAAGCGAGCTGCGTGTGTTCCCGTGGACTGCGGTGACGAGGCCGAGGATTTGCAGCCCAGTCTGTGAGTATCGAGGGAGTTCTGGATCCTCGGGATAAGCTGCTTCGTCTCCCGCTTCTGGATCAGGGATGAAATTCGGTCCTATCTTTTCTGCTTCATTTGTGTTGACGGTTGCAGGTGTTACGTAACCGGTA